AGCTGAGCTGCAACCTGCCCTACCTCTTCCATTCTGCCATGGTCTCCTGTTTCTCTATCAGTCACACAGCCAGTGTTTGTGCATTTCCATCAGGTGCTCCCTCATGCTGTGGCATCGTCTACCATCCTGTCCCATTTCCACCTTCCTGCTGGCCACATTTCTCTTCCTATGGGTACTGACTCTGTGCACACCGCTAAATGATCTTCCACCTCCCTTTCTCATCTCTCCCCACCTCCACGTCTTAGGGCTTTGCCTCTGTAACCACAGGCTGTAGCTACAAGTTTCCCCAGGACTGCCTCATTCTCCATTCCCATACCGGGGTGCTGCAAGCCGTCCTCAAGGCTGTGCTTGGCTGAGGACTGCTCTGAACCACAGTGGTGACAAAGGTCTTTTTGCAGGGCTTGACACTGAGGTTAACTTCTGTTTTTATCTCTGCACAGCTGATACGAGCTGACGCTGCCTCCCACATAGGCACCGCCGAAGAGGTTACTCCAGAGCATTGAGGTTGGTGTCTGTACAAGGTTTCTTAGCCAACTTGAGTGCAAAGACCTAAGGGCTGGAACTGAGCCAACCTCTGTGGTAAGAGACTACTGCCGTTAGATGAACAGGGCCAGATTGTCTTTACATGTTGTAAAAATACGAAGAGGAATGGATTTGAAACCATGTAGTTAACTTTCTTTGAGAAGAGGAATAAAAGGATTGTTGTTCTGGGATTGGTTTTTTTCCCTTCCCACATTTCTTGATTCAGAAGTCAGAGAACTGGCTACAGAAAGAAATTGATCAGTTCATCCATGTCTTTATCAGTGAGGGTAAAAGTTTCAACCAGCTAAAACACGGGAATGAGTGTGCTGAACATGTGGAAGAGTTGCTACACCTGGCAGAGTTAGAAGGAGGATTATTTAAAATTGACTTTGTCCATACCTCTTGTTTTTGTTACATTTCCTGTACTGACAAATAAGAATCTTATTAAAACCCGACCTTGCTATAGTATTGATTTGAGTCAGCTATAAAGCATTTCTAAGACAGTTATGGTCAATAAAAATCAATGTTAGCTGATACGCTTACGAAAGCGAATGATTTCCAGTAACCTTTTTTATGGCAGTGCTTGATACTAACCATAGAAATCTGCAGGATTGCTGTACCTTGGGCAGGGATAGCCTAGTTCTGTGAAATATGGGACCATGTCTTTAGCTGTTCCAGAATAGACAGTGACTCCAGAAGTCATCAGAAGAACTAAATCAAACAGTTGGAAGATGTCTGACCGGGGCTGATGAAGTGAAAGAAGGACTAATCTGTTTCCTCTGGCCAGTCTGGATAATGTTATCACAAGGTTATGTGCAGTAAAACTGTCCAGTCCAGATGTGGGTTCATCAAGTATGAGTATTCCTGCCAAAGACAATAAGTTTAGCTGTGGAAAGCAGCATGTTTGATTTGGAAAATATGTTCTAAGTGAAACGGTGCTAGTGCATGAAATCACACAAGATATATTCCTTCTTTTTTAAAGCCCAAAGTGTATTTCATACTGCCGTCACATAATATTCAACAATGGCAATTTCTTACACTATCTTACTGAACATGATGACCAAGAATAATTATTTTAAATCTTATCTTGCTCCCACTGGAAACAAGAAATTTTTTTTTATTTTTCGTTGGGATGCAGATTTAGGTTCCTTATTAAATTTACATTCTTCTCTGCAGTTTTTGCAATTTGCCTGTACAAATATCAGGTACATGATTATTAATTAATACAATAGTATTAGTTTTGTATCCTTCCTACTGAAATATTTTAACCTAAATGCTCGATATTTAAACCTCTTGCATTATTCACGTGTAAATACTCACACAGTATTAATGTAGATAGATCCTCCTCCCAACCCGTGCTCTATTTTGCACCTATTTCCACATATATATGAAGAGACACACATATGTTTGGAATTTTTTTTGTTTGTTTTGCAATTGGTTATTACAAACTTGAGAGAGTTTTATTATTTTGCAGTGTTTCTTTTATTATAGAACTTAATGACTTCAATCAGAGCAAGGCAATGTCTATACAGAGACATGGTTTCTGTGCTGAGGGGTATGACACATCTTTGAAATGTAAAGAAAGCTTTACTTATTTCCCCTAGAACTAATTATTTTTTTACTTCAGTACCAGCACATCTATTCTTGAGCATCACTTCTTACAAAAAAAGACGACTTCGTTCCCCATAATTACAGAAATATAACTTTATACAAGCAAAAAATTCTCAGATCCATTTCCCAGCAGAAGAGCTGATGGGAAATCTTGCTCAACAAGAGGTTCAGCCAAATTATTAGTGCTTTTGAGATGGATATAGATGTGTATATATATATATCTGCTTATATATATGATGCTTATATATAGCAGATAGGGGATTCAATCCTGCAAAATCAACTGTGGATTTAGCCTCATGTTTTGCTTCTGCTGAAGATGATGGAAACTTCTAGTTCACCTGCGGCATAAGCCAGCCACGTCAGTGAGTTACGCAAGACCACCATGACTGACTATGCCGCCAAGGAAATGACCTTCCTTGTTAACATTGCACATGTAAATGGGCTGGGTTGGAGGAAAGGAAAACAATCCTGATGTTATAACAGGCCAGCAGTCTTCCAAAGTAACTTGTGGCATGCGGTCAGATAAAAAACAAACCTCATACTGATATGCACAAACCAGAGCACTGCTGTGAGGGTGACTTCAGGCAACGTTCAGTAGTCTGTGTGATGGTGTTTTAGAGAGCGGTGGATGAACGCTCCCCGGGGGCTCTGCCTGGCTCTGTCACTGCTGCTCCATTGGCAAGGGTGACAGAAGCGAAAGTGGGCTGGCTCCTGAACTGCTCCATTTACAGAATTATTACTCTAATAATTACATTATTATCCGTGATCAGCACTGATTTCAATTTAAGCAAATGGACCAGCACCCAGTCACTGCGCCTAACTTTGCTATGGAGAGGTAACTTCTGGCAGCGGGTGGTGCAAGGCCTGTTAAGTGTCCTCAGTATGAACTCCCCAAGCTGCCCCAAGGGCAACTGTGTGTATGACTCTTCCCTGGAAGCTCCTGTCTTCATTTACTTCCCCATTTTCCCCGGTGATCTGTGGTGGGCACAAGGAAGGTGTCACGGTTTTGCTCACCTGGGTTCCAGAGCAGCTGCACACCAATGCTCACTCTCCGCCTCTCACCTCCCGAAACTCCGCGGAGGTACTCGTTCCCTACCCTGGTGTTTGCACACTGACGCAAGCGTAGCTCTGCTATAACGTCTTCTACCTGGGGGGGATCAGAAGGGTGACAGAGATAAAGCAAGAGTTTATTTGCACATTTGTGCTAGATGAAGCTGAAAATATGATAAATGTGGTTAAAATGCATCTGGATATTTCAGTGCCAGCTGATCAAGAGACACTTGAAAACAAATCTTGGTTTTAGAGATAACGTTAAAAAAGGCTCAGCGATCAGCAATTTAGTTCTTCTTTCAGCCTCTCCAATGCTTTCTCTAGATTGTCATTTTTTATGAGCTTTGGAACAATTGCTGGTTTCTATCTTGAAAGAAGAAAAAGGTTTATAATTCATAATCTACATAAAAAAATGCCAGATTAGCTGTTCTGACTCCAAACACACTCTGATCTCTTGGATAATTCCTGTCAGACACATTTTTGACAACTTTATTTTTTTCCAACAGCTTAATTACCCTTTTTTTCCTTTGTGAGTCTGAAAAAAACTTTGGAAGGCGCAGTTTGGCAACGAACAATAGCGTTTCTCTGACAGTCAGGTGGGGGAGCAGTCGGTCATCCTGCCGCACGTGTGCGATGCATTTCTTAACAAGCTGGGGTGTGCTGGGTTTGTTATTGATCATGATTTGACCAGACTTGATTTTGCCTCCATGATCCCGGCAAGTTATCACATCAAGCAAAGATGTCTTTCCACCAGCTACAAAAATCAAAATTGAAAATTAAATTAATTTTCAGGGGATTACTTTGAAAAGTTGATTTAGTCATACACAGAGAATAGAAGTTTTCATTCCCTAACATCTTTTCCCCAGCCCTTCCTGAAGCTTCTCCAAAGCCACAGAGACAGAATGGTCTTGAAAGAAAATACTGACACCCGACTACAAGCTCGTGTTTGGGAAATCTGTCTCCTCTGGAATGGACTATGTGACTTTAACCTTTGTCATTTCTCAGCAGAATTAGGTAGTTGGGCGTTGAGGATAGTTCCATGAACTCAAGAAGCAATATCTCTTTGTCCTCTTGTTACCTCTCTTTCACTTTTGAAATATAAGTGAAAGGTGGCATCCTGCGCTGGCTGCAGGGCTGGCAACTGCTCGGCCAGAGCTTGCTTTGTGAAAGGAATTGTGAATTCAGAAACAGCAGCTGGAACAGCTGAATGACTAAGGTGCTGAATGATTATACAGACAATAAGAATCTTAATCATGATTGAAATAAAAATTATTATGACTTAAATAAGACAAAAAGTCATTTAAATAATTAAGAAAATCTGGCTCATACTCAGAGGGAAGAAAAGTAAAACAATGAAGACAAAACCTGATTTGGAATTAAATAGCAAATGAATTTTTCCTTTTTGCTGTATGATACTGTATGTAAACACACAGAGCTCTCTTATTATGATTAGATGTCATTTATTTCTAGTCTCCCTGTTGAAAGATTAACTCCACACTTGTTTCGTAATATATATGTATTTTAAAAAAGAAACCCATCCATCTGTAAACCACGTATTGCTCTATTTAAGAGTGACATATTGATTGCCATTGACAATGTGAAACCCATCAGCAGTTTAATCCATTTTACTAAGGCATTTGATGAAATAGATGATAAACAGCTTTTAAAAATAGTTTGACTAGTTTGCTGAAAGGGGTTTGTGCTCAGTGTATGTTACCTTACAAAGGTGCTATATCTATAACTCACTATGTTATTTCATCACAAGCTTTTCCTTTTATTATCCGGAGAATCTCTAAGGTACAACTTCAGTTACATTAAGGATATGTGCTAAGAAAAAATTCCCATGGCAATGGGGAAGAAAAACCTCTTCTGTAGAAATAAAGTTAAAACTTCTTTGGCAAATACGCCTTGCCTTTGAGAGAGAGCATCTTGTCTGAATCACTGAGCTAACCTGATGTAAGAGTCTAGTGGAGACACAGCATGGGGGTTTTTACCTCCAAAGTATGGCTACTTTTTCCTTCGGTTTAACAGATCACGTGTCTACTTCTTATCCCCCTAGATGAGCTTAGACTCAACTAACCACATGGGGTAAAGGCCATCTCTCCATTAGTCAGCCTCACCCTGGAGAAGATTAAACCAGTCCCCCCAGAAAATGAAAGAAAAAAAAAAAAGTAAGAAAACAGAGACATGTTTTAAAGACAAACAGAAGAGGAACTGTCTTTTCTTCTCCGTAAGTTTCTCTTAATCCAAATGCAATATTTTATCCTGTTAGAATTGTTTCAATCTGAAGGGAATTCCTGCTTGTGGCTATGCAAATTGCCACTGATCTTTCTTACGGGGTCTGGCCTCATTTGTCTGCTCTGTTACTGGGTAAGGTCTGCAATTGGCCTGTTTTGAATCTTAGCCATGAAGCTGATTCATGTCCAGCAGAGCTGGGACTGCAGGGCACAGTTATAACAATACCCCACTACACCTCAGGAAACAAATAGCAAACGTGTACGAGTCAAAAAAATTGGTTTTGAAAATAAATTTTAAATTTTCTTTCCCCAGTATCATTCTTTGTTTCCTCATACTTTGTTTCCTCATACATTTTAAAGAATGTATTTAGTGACACATTTCCAATACCTGTTTCTCAACTAGATTTTGCCATTCAAAAGACTGCAGACTATTGCTCTTGGCTGTGTATTTTTTATCTAAGAGTTGGTCAAATAATGAAATTTGGCTGCTCTTACCAGTGCTTCCTATAATAGCTAGCATCTGACCACTTTGAACTTTTAAATTCAGATTCTGGATGATTGACACATGAGAACGAGGATCCGATTTCCAGGTCCATGGCATTTTCATCTGCGCGAGGCTTTCATACCAGGGAATCTGGGATGCCATATTAATCTAAGAGAAAGAAACAAGTCCCTTCAATTCAAACAATAAACTATTTAGCAATAAATATCTTCCGAGTTATGATGTTACAAGCAGAGAATATGTTAAAATAATATTGTTAATCTTCAGAAATACATGGAAGAAAGTTCTTTTACAGCCAAGTATGGTTTTCATGCTTTGCTTCTTATTCTGTTAATCACTAAAGCTACCTCTGTTCTTTGTTACTTTGGTAATTTATTGCTATTGTAAATGTTTAAAATGTTTAAAATTTTAATTCAATTTGAAATTACGCAAAACTGATAATTGTGAAATCTACTTCAAATGCCATGGTGGCACAAAGGGAGATGAAAAATTTCACTGGTTCCTTGAAGTCCTCCGTGTTAGTCATACTCTCTTTGTCTCCTTCTGTGTACTCATTCTTGCCAGCAAGGGCTCCCACCATCCCTAGCTGGACAGAAAGTCCCTCTGCCCCAGCCCTCAGAGGAATAATTTGGTTCAAGACTGAGAAAAAAGACAGCCTAGAAACAGACCTCTTTTCCTGTCTTATCCCTTAGCTTTGCTAGATATATTTACAATGGGCGTTTAGTCTGCTGTCAATATTGCAGCCAAGAGCATGATTCTGCTCACAAAACTTCCATATATTTGACTGTGCAACTATCATGTGAACTTGGTGTTATGATACTTCAACTTTGTTTGGCTTCTAAAATGGCTTGCATATAGAAACAGGCATTGCGGGATATGCTCCCTGCTGAAGGGAGGTGTATAATTTACAACTTTTACCTGGTAGTTGAGTTCTTTGACCTCGAGAACGTTTGGTTTTCCGCTGTATGTGAAATACAGACTGTTATCTTCTTCAGAGCAAAAAATAGTATCCTGGGCCTTGGTCTGGAAAAGTTATTAGGTTAATTACAATAGTTAATTACAATACCTAAAGTGCTGTTAAAATTTGAGTTCAGAAAACGCGAAGCACAAAGGGAAATATATTTTATGGGGTAGAACATTATTGTTGATGAGTTACTATAGTGCAAAAGTCTGAAGGGTTGAAATGAGTTATCTGTTAATCAGTGTGAAACGTACTTTGTTCTAGCGGCATGTACGAGGGCCAAACATGCTGTGCTATGCTCTTCTATTTGCTTTCCATTTAAATGCAGTCACTTTCAAACTGGAGATAAATGTCATGCCACTATAAAGAGATTGGGCTCTATTTCTGTTTTTGAGGAAAAAAATGTACTGCTTCAGCAATGCTAGTCTGCTGGATCAAAATGGTGCATATTGAAATTCATAAGTTATGGCAACTAAAAATTAAGGTTCACTGGAAGTATGTTCATTATGGAATTCCACAGGGACTCGTTAACTTGGAGGCTTTATGAACAAGTAGGTGTGCAACCACGAGTACAGTCTCTTTTTCTCCTCTTTTGTTTCTTAAATTCACGGTTTGTCAACTGGAACTTAGTGTTCTGAGATATCAGTTAAAAAAAAAAGAACAGTCTCTACTTGGCTTGGTTAACCTTTTGCATATACTTGCAATTAAGAAGTCTTTGCTGAGGCAGCTTTCTGGCTTTGCGTTTAATTCTGTGTGCATGCCTGCAGTTTTTACTCCAGACAGCCATATCTCGCTCACAGCCTTGTGCCTTTCCTACGAAGTCAGGCTCATATCCTAGCCAAGGCAAACATACCTGTTCCTTGTGTAGCGGACCCTATCCGTGCCTGTGGTATCTTTGGCAGATGGTGTGTGCACCTCCCACCCTCACAGCAAACAAGGCTGATATTAATTTTTTTAGTCTAGATACACAGCAGAAAGCAATGTGACACCAAGCAGCCTCAAAAGCTGCATTAAAGCCTTCCAAGCTCCCCCTGCTGCCAAAGCACTCCATGCTCTTGCTTATGTTGAACTTAATTTTTAAAAAAACAGGTGGTCCCCAGCAAATACGGGGAGCCGGTTTTACAGCCCGAAGGCATGTCCTTGGAAAGCCAGTCCAGGCCGTGCTCAGGGACTTTCTTCTCCATCCATGTATTTGAAGATCCCCTCCCTCAGCCCCACCACCGTGGCATCTGAGCGTGGCTTGCATGGCACTGGCCTCATGCCCAGTGTGCTCTTGTGGCGGGTGCTTTCTGCTCCCTGTTTCAGAGCTGGAGGAGGCTTGCTGCCTGCAAAAACCCAGTCAGCAGGCTGGCCACCCGTCTCTCCCAGCTCCCGGGCAAGCGCTGTAGCCGCGGGATGGCTGAGCCCATCGGGTCCCTCCCCACTCCCCACAGGTCTCACTCACCGGCGAGCCCTCGCATGCCACCTGGCTCCAGCTGGCACTGTCCAGAGAGACATTTTCAGTGGTTTCCTTCATGTCGGCAGTGGAAGGTCTTGTCTCCTGCAGTGGTTTGACTGTCGGCTCTTTGAAAGCTGTGGAAATCCTTCTCCTCTTGGTTCTGAGCTCAGCCCTTTCCAGGCGCCTTCACCACAGCACCATTTCTCCTGGCGCACTGCGTCTCTGCAGCTGGCGTGACCCTGTGGACAGGGAAATATTCCCCTCCTCCGGGACAGTGACAGCTCGGGCTAAAGGTACATCAGATAGCGGCTTCAGCTAATCACCTATCAGTTGTTCTCAGGAAAAAAGAAAGAACTGAGGGCCCCTATATTTTCTTTTAGGCACTTCCCTGGGTAGCGAGCGCCAGGGGCAGCGATCTGCTCCGACCCGGGGACAGCGGGGAGCTGCCCCTGCCCGGTGCCGGGGGAGGCATGGTGGTGGCAGCGTGGGGGCCCTGGGCAGGAG